ACCTGATAGTTTGCCACATTGCTAAAGATATTTGGATGAAGTATATGTAGATTGGTTCTATATCTTTTCACTTGTCATCATCTACTGTGCAAGAACTATGGGATTCATACCCTATGAACAGCAGGTCTGTTTACGACCAACTGCAAAGCCAGACAAATCACTGCAACATTAGAGAAAAAGTATTTATTTAAGGTTTTATTGTAGATCTTTTTTCATAGAGAAAAAGACTTCTGCCCCTTTCCTATCTAAAATAAAAATGTTGGTATTAATAAATTAATGCTTTCTTTGCATATAAATGGTTTAATAACTCACCATGAAATCCAATTTTGCCCCAGCCAGTAACCCAGGCATCTTCCCCGTTGTTAAAGGTGCTGTTGAAGGCTGCCAGGCAGACGGGTGAGATGTAATTGCTGAAAACCACTGGTTCAGACATCTTCAGAAGCGCAATGTCATTGTTAAAACGTGGTTTGTTGTATTCAGGATGAATAATGATCCTTGTTACTGTCCGAGAGACTTCATTTGGGTTAGATTCACTCTGATTCTGACGACCCAGATACACTGTTAGACCAGCAGTGCTGCTAAACCTTTATTGTAGGGCAGAAAAGAGATCACTAAATTACTTGCTTCTTAACTGAAGGTAACACATTACTTCTAGTGCACTTTGATTCAGTTGTTATTGAGATCTGAATACATTTCAGTTAATTTTATGTCTTATTCTGGGGAGAAATTGGGAGTTTTTTTGTTTTATTTTCTATATATTTATTTCATCCTGTTATTAAATTACAGCATGTGCTTTTCTACTTGCGTTTTATCATAATTCCATAGAAGAAAAAAATTTTTTTTTTCAAAAGTTGATGTGGCTGGGAACTGAAGAGCTCAATGTGTCCTTGTGGCTTACCATGAGACGCAATGAGCAGCAGTCAGCACCCACTGGTCATTGATCAGAGATCCTCCACAGAAGTGAGAAAATATGTGCAGACTGACCTGCCAGGGCCAGCTGCCTGGAGGAGCTGCTTCTCCTCCAACTATCCTGGTGTTAAGTGATGGTTTACCACATACTAAGAAAAAACAGACCATTCCTTCTGTTATCTGACTGCTTTACAAAGCCACTAGCTACAACAGTAACAGCAGGTTTGACTTACCTGAGAGCTGTGAATCACTGTCTGAAAAATAAAAAAAATAATGGTGTTAGATTTATTCTTTATTAGTCATGTGTATTGCTTATCCTTTAGCCAGATTAGATGGGGTGGATTGCCTTCCTTCACATGGTGTATCATATTGTGTGTACAGAGGCCATCTAATGAGGACAGACTTTTTGTCTGTACAATAAGCAAAGGATAATGATACATCCTGGAGCCAGACTGATAAGGGAGTTCTAGGGATTTTTTGTGAAAAAACCTTTAAAAGAGGAAGGCTTTCCCTGTTGCACAACATGTATGCTTATGTTGGCTCTGTTCGAAAACCTAGGACGCATCCTTAGAAGACCGGATTCGAAGGCCGATTACGTCATAGCGCGGCGCCGAGGTCTGGTCAGATTCCAAGAGTCTTCGTTATGCGGCCTTAAAATGCGTCCTTCTTTTTTGCCCGATTTGAAGGACGGGTCCGATGTAAACTCAGTATTCTTGGATATCCCAGGATTCATTGCGAGACTACGTAAGCCGGGGTCAGGGGGAAGATTAC